GCACTYGATTTCAGCTAAAGAGCTCCTCTCCATCTGCTTCAGGTTAGTGGACATCATTCAGTAAACTGTCCCGTTGGGAAATATGTCGCTACGTCACACAGTGGAGTCTCTGATWGGTTGATGCTGCGCGTCGAGCTGCAAAAGTTCAGATTTTCTAACTTCAGCGATTTGCGCCTCAGCGCGTCGAACGCTCAGATCGTTCAAATCGCGCTGCTCTTATCGCGCTTGTGGYGCCGCAGCACTTCCCAGACGCTGACTGAAGCGCGTCCACCATAGACTTTGTATGTAAACCTGATGCTCCTGATGCTGAAATCGCGTTTGGTGTGAACGCACCATTAGAGGAGTCAGCCATAAAACTAAAGGATTATTCCTGAAAACAAACAAGTTTTGCTAAAACATTAAAACCTGGATTTTGAAGGTTGTGAGCTTTTTTAGTTGCTGGGATCTAGACAGTTTTTATAGACTCATTTTAGCACAGATCTCTATAAAATAAAGGGGCAAAAATCAACATTTTCACTATTTTGCACAGCAGCCTGAGCTCCTTCTGCCAGCACAGGTCATAAATGTTGCCTTGCTGTAAAATGTTCACTTCTCTCTTTTTGAAACTGTTGTTTTACCATCAACTTTGTATGAGCAGTCAAACAATGAAACTTGTTGTCTGTTTTGACCCAACACACAGGTGAGGTACACCCAGCAGGCAGCATTTTGGGAATAAATGTCTTGCTCAAGGACACCATGACCATGTGGGAGGGGGAATCCCAACCGCAACCTTCCAGTCCCAAAACAGATGCCCTACTATAGAAAAATCCTTTATTTATTTTAGTCCCCCCAGCTTCAAGCATTATCCATCCGACCTGATCACCTTCCAGTAACACACCTGGTAACTCTGGCAGGAAGTTGCTGAGCTTCTCCTTCACTTTCTTCCCACAGAATTTGTTGTAGGCGTGTTCCAGGTTGTAATGTGTGATGAGGTTGGTGTTTCCTGTCAGTTCATTTCCAACTACAAAACAGAAATTCAACTTCAATAACACAYAAACAAATTACAATTTAAAGTCGCGTTAATAACACGAAGCTAGAGCGAGTGACCAACCAAAGCTGAGAATGCAAGTTAATRTGCGAGACAAGAAGTTAAGGTTTGATTTTTGTGACAATAACTAACAAAAACATAATCTGTGAAAACAGAGTTGGCTGAAAAAGTATTTGTTRTATTACAAAACAAGCAGCTTTGTTTATAAAATTAAAACAGGGCTAACGTCGGGAATTAGCTTACCCCGTCAGCCTAGCAGCTGTTAGCCGCACAGCTTTGTTTACAAAGTCCTTATCAACTTTTAACRTCATGTAAATTAATTTAAACGACAAACAACGACTTCAGATGAGGTAAYAAACCGACATTACCGGGAAGTTCTCGCAGTAAATAGAAAGGTTCATTCATGGCTCCTGGTTTCCGCATAGCAGGCCCCTCATCCCCGAGCTGTGGTGGCATCTGCCCCGCCATGGAGACTTGATTTTGCGGTAAAGGTAGCGGGAGTTTCCCCGGTCCGAAACCCAAAGACAAAGACCCGGGCGGTCCCTGAGCTTCGTTTTGCCCGTACATAGTTGGGAACATCTCCGTCATGCTTAACGCTAGAAAAACATYTGGAGTAAGTGGAAAAAGCCGGTCTTGTTTAGCTTAAAAGCCCGTCTGCGTGATGGAGGTGAATCACCTCGTCTGCACTCAAAACTACTCCGTTCCACCAGCCTTTGTGGCTATTTCGTTTCCGAGTTACCGTAATACAAGTACTAAACACGAAAGATAACAATTTACCGTAATGCAGCAAATCAACACGCACAATATAAATTTACCTTAGTACAGAGAATAAACACGCAAAATATAAATTTACCGTAATACACAAAATAAAAACGCACAGTAATGGGAACAAACATTCAAAATACTGTTATTAATATTTCACTTCTTTATTATTCAAGTTAGCACAGTAAACWAAATATGTACAGTTAAATAGTGGAAACAAACTAAAAGAAAAAGAAATCAAAAATAAATCACACAACAGCAGAGTGGAAAGAAGAAGAAACCTTTTCAAATTCTGCCACTGATGCCTGAAAACAAAAAAAAAACAAAAACATCTGTTAGCAACCAAGAAATGTTTTTCCTTGCAAGTCAATAATTTATTTTCCTTCACAGAATTTTAAAAAATAAAACTGCAATAATACCTATCAACTGTTGTATAATTTAAAAGCAAAAACTTTTTAAAAAGTCTTTTATAAACAGACACAAGTACACAAATCCCTTATTTCCTCACCTTCCAGTCTTCTACAGCTGTGGAAATACGTAGTTCAGTTTGAGCGATGCTCTCTCTACCCGCCTGAACCTTCTTTGCCAGGGTRGCATTCTCTGCTTGGATCTTTTTCAGCTCCCGCGCCACGTAGCCCTCCTGTTTTTGATAATAGGGTATCAAAAAGCTGCAGAAGTCCCGTTCGGGAACTCCACTTGGCCGCCTTAAAAAAACAAAGAAGTGGAAACAGTTACAGTTTGAAAAATGACAAAATGGAAATATTGCTGTGGTTGGGATTATTTTGTCTAAACAAATTGTTAATATGTGACTATATAAAGGACATACAGATGTGCTCTTAAAATAATTTGCAGAATAAAAGTGTGTTTTTAAAACGTGAAGAGTTTAGTTTCTGCTCTCTGACCATGCAGGCTCTGGATCATCCTTGGCAGCTGCCTCCAGCTTGTCAATTTCATTCAGTTTGAAGCTCARCTCCCCTTCTTCAATCAGTTTGGTGATGTCCTCCTAAATTAAAATCAGAATTTTAAATTAAAAACAAGCTAAAYAGTACCAACTGCACATATGGAGGAGGATGTTCTAAAAGACGCTTGTTTTTGAAGCTTTACTATATGAAAGRCAAACGTGGACGATACAGTCTTTGCCTGTGGCTTTGAAATGTTACTGGTGATATTCTGTGATTAATTAAAGCACAGCACTAGAAAACTACAAACGGGTTCAGTTTGTCATTCTCACCTGGATAGTTTTGCGCAGCTCCTCAGTGAACTGCTTGTGAATGCTCTCCATTATCCGAGGGTTCATCTTGTACAAAGGGCGAAACATGCTGGAAAACCCTTTAAAACTGAGAGGAAAGACGGTGTCAGACGTTGTGTTTTTTTTTTTTAGATTCATCTTTTGTTCTTCAGTATGACTGATTTAAAGAAAAATATCTAAACGACACCTGGTTGTAAAACAACAACCATCAATAAACAATTAATTTAAATGAACACAAACAATTTCAACAACCCACAATGGTCATTTTTAATCTAGACCATGTCGTAGTTTTATGCGTGCAYGACAATAAAACAAACCTGCATCACCAAGAACTTTGAAGTTCTTGGTGATGCAGGTTTGTTTTATATTTGATGATGACGTTCTTTGTGATGCATTTTTTCTGTTTGATGATTTTATCTGTTTGTCTGATGATTTTATCTGTTTGTCTGATGATTTTATCTGTTTGTTTGATGATTTTATCTGTCTGATGATTTTATCTGTTTGTTTGATGATTTTATCTGNTGATGATTTTATCTGTTTGTTTGATGATTTTATCTGTTTGTTTGATGATTTTATCTGTTTGTTTGATGAATTCAGGTTTTTCACAAAACCTGAATTCATCGATTTTGTGAATTCTGGCAAATAAACACTCGAGGAGGTGAAACGAGCATCAATGGTAGGACTTCTTACCAGCAAGGTGTTTTTAATAGAAAGTGCAATTTTAAGTTTTTAATTTGTGAAACTATAATTTTGTAGCTTATGACTATTTTATTTTTAACATGATTTTATGCAAAATATAATTACCTCATTCATTGTTGTTTTTTAAACTTTATTCTCGTTATCAGCCCTTACCCACATAGATGAAGTGAGCAAGCCACGACTTATTAAAAATATTAGATTATTTTAGCTCATACTGATAACTCCTTTAGTTTACAAGATGAACTAGTACTGTGGCGAGAAAACCTCTACCAAAACAAGATGAAAGCAGATCTAAAGCAAAGMTCTATTTCTCCTGATAAAATAAAATTAAAGCTTAAAAATRTTTATGAAAAATCTCATTCATTCTGAGGCAACATCAGAGTTTACATGTGACCTATGACCCGGCCGCGTCACGCATGCGCATTTGTAACTGTTTTCATTAATTCAGTTACAGCAAATGATAATTAACTTTTGCATCGTCATTTTCTCCATTAAACTCCCATCAAGCCGTCCACTGACGGATTACCTGGCCTGCTCCATGAAGTTGTTCAGGCTCTTCTGCATGACTTTATCGAACAGCTTGATCCGTTCACTCGCCTCTTCAGTCGGTTTTCCAGCCGCGTCCTGATTCGACGCCTCCGCGGGATTTTCCTCCGCTCTCTCTTTCTCAGAGGAACCGCTTTCACTCGTTTTTGCCATCTCATCTGGAGCTGAAACGCTTGTTTCTTTCATTATGTGACTAAAGCCCTGTTTTTGACTCGACCCGCCAAAAACACACTACGGCAAGCCGCAGTGACCAATTCAGACGACGTAAGCCAAACGTCATTTTCGCGCATGCGCACTCCATTCCACCACTCAGCACTGCCGTTTTTTTAATTTCTCCTCCATGTTCGTCCTAGTGGTTCGTTCGTCCTCTCTGGAAACATGGGTTTAATCACAGGAGTTTGTACCTTTCTGTATCACCTACCACAGATTTACAAATGGCTGCTGAAACCGTATTATATAGTTTCGTTTTTCATGACCATCGCCTTCCTGGTGGTCAGAAAAGCCCCCGGATTATGCGAGCACTTGTCTTCGGAYCGYGAGGACGGCAACTCCTGCGACTTTGACTGGGTAAGCGTGATGAAGATGACGATGAAGATGGTGTTGCACTGCTGCAGAGTGGTTGTTAAATATAGTCTGAGGTTTAATGGGTTTGTTTTACAGAGAGAACTGGAGATACTCATGTTCCTCAGTGCGATAGTGATGATGAAGAACAGAAGAGCCAGTGAGTATTATCCCAAAACCCTGTCGAAATACTGATGTTTTTGTGTGTAACTGTTAAAATACCTGACCTGAGAGCAGCAGTAAGACCCCCACACCCAAGTGATTCATCATAGTCTTTGTTGTGTAAACATTACAGGTGCAGTGTGATCCCACCCCCTCTTTCACCTTGCTCAGTGATCTGAAGGTTATAAGTCATTAACCTCCTCCTTTCTTCTGTTCCTCAGTCACCCTGGAGCAGCACATCGGCAACCTGTTCTTGTTCAGTAAAGTGGCCAACGTCATCCTCTTCTTCAGGCTGGACGTCCGTCTCGGCATCCTCTACCTGGCGCTGTGTGTAGGTCAGTGGTTTTAACGCACACGCCACATGCCTGCCGACGAGTCGCCTCCGCCTTCAGAAGATGCTGTTTCCTGTCGCCCAGCAGGGATGAACTGTACAACACTAGGGTTGGGTGATGTCGGCACACGATAATCACAATTGTTCTAAAATCATACTTACTAATCATCGGTCGAGCTAACACATGTTAAATTAGCACAGTTTGACTTGAAACGTGGAGCGGTGGCATATCTTTATTAACCCTTTATAACCACATCAGGGATTCTCACCATTTGCTGCACGATCGTTTGTTACCTCATCTTCTGGTTTTCGTTGTACTCTGGTCTGTGGCAATGTTTAAACCAGTTTGTAGTAGGGTTGTGACAACACATCAGTCCACATTTATATAATTTAATGTTTAATGATTCAGTTGCATCAATGCAAAACAAAAACGTCATCATATGCTTGATGTGGATCGGCATAATTTGTGTTAGATGGATACATGATATCACTAAATATCAATCGCAGACATCCAAACAAATCTATAGAATATTGGATTTTGATGAAGATGGTGATATATTTGTAGTGTTACACACATGTTAAGGGCTCACACGCTAATGGTGCARTGGTACACAATCATCACGCTGCAGTTATCGTAAAGTGATAAATGTGCATTGGGGACAGTTTTTCTGCTGATTAGTCGTATGTGATTTTGCCAGCGTAACGCCTTCTCCTCACACTTTAAAGCTACATAATCTGTCTGCTCCAGCTCAGTTATCGCACTTTGAAAATGTACTCGTTTTCTCACGTACAACTACAAACTTCCTGATATTTTTACTGGGGTTTCATGAGATCAGTCAACACAAAGTTGAGGGTAACGGTGACGTGGAAGGAAAATAGAAAAACTTAAATCCAGTGAAACCAACGGGTCACCTGGTTGTATTTTTTTCCTGTGTTTGTTTGTTTCTACTGTTAGCAAAATATCTCGACTAGGTTTATTACTTCCTTTTAGGAAGTAATCAGTAGATAGAATATTACAACAGGGACTGACCAACGTTGTTTTCTTTTTTATATGGCTGATAGATTTGTTGAAATCAAGGTGGCCAATGGCTGATTTGAAAAAAAATTAACAACTATGGCTTAATTAGAAAACATATTTAACCAACTGTAGAAGAACTCRTACTCCTAAAAATAATATATAAAATAACATTCTCATAAAAAATTGTTTTTATTATCCTACTAGGTAATTATTATTTACAGTTATGTCTGATTGATGTTTTTTTTAATGGCCACAATCGTCTGATTAATTGATTTATCTCTGATCTACAAGTGATTAACCTTTGGAGTTTGTTCAATTCAAGATGGCTGCCATTAGTCAGAACAAAAACAGATTTTACTCAGAGACACTGAGCTAAAGGTCTGATGTGGTTTTAGCTGAGACTCATCCTCAGCATAAACATTTACGTTACAACTCAGTGTAAACTAACCTCCAGTTTTAAGAAATGTAAAACGTTTAAAAACCTGTTTTCAATCAATTAATGCAAACTTTGTGTTTGTTTTGTTTGCAGCGTTTGTCATGACCTGTAAGGCTCCTATTTACATGGGCCCAGAGTACATCAAGTACTTCAATGACAAGACCATCGATGTGAGTTTTTATTTATTTCATTAAGTCTTTGGATGTGGAGTGTTCCCTCAGACCTATTTTAAGTTCAAAAGGAACTGAACTAATGAGGCACAGAGAAATATTGTTTCACATACAACTTTGTGGGGTGTTAAAAATATTCACAATTTAATAAGATGTTAAAAATCTGAATCTCCAGCTGTAAAAAAAAGGCATAAAAATTCATAATTATTGGAGTTAAACCTCTGTTACAGTTACCAGATGTAACTCAATATTTGATTATAATATGATTTAAGATGGTAGTTTCAGCTAAACGAGTTTATGCAAAACAACTCAGCCAGTTTTACAGACATAAGCCAACAATTCCTGTAGTATTAGCTGATGCTGCGTTCACACCAAACGCGATTTCAGCATCAGGAGCCTCAGGTTTACATACAAAGTCTATGGTGGACGCGCTTCAATCAGCGTCAGGAAGCGCTGCGGCGCCTCAAGCGCGATTAGAGCAACGCGATTTGAACAATTTGAACCATCTGAGCATTCGACGCACTGAGGTGCAAATTGCTGAAGTTAGAAAATCTGAACTTTTGCAGCTCGACGCGCAG